CAATTAAATTCACTATATCCAGGAGACACAATTTATCAGGATATTATTTTCTTAAGTAATAACTCAGAATAAAATAGAAGTAACAACTTTCTACTTTTTATCTTTTTAAGAAATGTAGTGAGTAGAAAGTACAGATAATTGTGTAAAAATGTAATGAGTAAAAGTAAAAGTACGATGAAAAATAATTACTCAAGTAAAGCACAGATAACCAAAATTTCGGAATGTCCTGAAGGAGCTGAACGTTTTGTTAAATGAGTGGTTTAAGTAGCATAAAAATTGTGGAAGGAGAAGCGGTCCAAAAAATGTACCCATTCAAAGTCAATGGGGAAAAAGTGCTTAAAAATTGAAATAGCTAAAAAAGTATAAAAAGTTTAGTTACAAAAAGTCATAGCCGGAATGTCCTGAAGGAGCTGAACATTTTGATATATGAATGGTTTAAGTAGCATAAAAATTGTGGAAGGAGAAGCGTCCAAAAAACCTACGGAAGAATCTGGAATAATAAAGAATGAAGAGAAACATGAAAACAATTGTGTGAATGCCTCCAGCATTCACACAATAAAACCAGTTAAGATCTTGATTGCATTTTAATACAGAAATGAGTCACTTGTTTAAAACAGACATAACATCGACATTTATTTATTTAAAAAAGAAACTTTGTGCTTCTTGTGAATCAGTTTGTTCACCTGGTGAAATTCCTTCACATTTTTATGATTGATTTTATGACATTTTAAGGAAAAGTCTCCTTTATTTATGAGGGATAAAACAGCTGAAGACTAAAACAGAAGAAAGTTCACAAAGAGGCAGACATGTTCAGAAAGGTGTCATTCATCCTTTCATCCCTGAGTGTCAGACTTAGTGTCTGCAGATAAAACAGTAAAAAAATAACAAATAAAATGTTTTTTGTTGATTTATAGTCAGAATGAACACCTTATGATTATGAATCTTCTGATTCAAAATAAAATCAAATCATTCCCACTGGATGAACATGTTTGTGCCAGAATATAATCTGTATTATTTACTTTGTGAGGTAAAGCTGGGGTTAGAATTGGCATAATTAATCTTAGTGAATTGTTACAAAACAGTTTATTATTTCAAACACACATTGTTCCCAATTTAAATGAATCTAATTCTATGCAGTTAAAATGCCAATAAACAGTTAAATAACCCTTCAGTCTGATTATTGTCAGTTAGGTCCAGCTCA